AGTCTCTGCACCGTAGAGCAGGACTGGTCGAACTGCTGCAACATACACTCAACTCTTCACAGACAGCTGGATGTCGCGATGGCGCCACAAATGTCTCAAGTTGGCAAACGTCTCGAGCCTTTTGTATGCGCGCCGACACTTCATCTGTGATGCGTCCGCCGGGTAAGATATAGCTGCCTAGGTAGCAAAATTTGACGCAGAGTGCACGATCAAATGCACTCAGCTGATCTGGTTCAGTGTTTCTGTCAGAGTTCATTCATATCATGCTATTTAGGTGCATCCGGGAATATTTTCTCTCTCTCGGAATTTCAGCTGCCAGACTTGGGATGAGTGTATTTTGGTTTGCTTCACTTCAACTTGACCCAGTCTCATTTTATCCTCTCCACTTGTTCTAGTCATCTTTGATGTTGATAGTACAGAGACAACCGCTATTAGCCTGAGGTTGCCTCAACCGAATGAAACTTTGCTGTCACAACTCGCTTACTCCTTTTTCGCTTACTCTGTCCAGGAAACTGACATGGGTTCAAACAAAGAACGCAATGACATGAACGTGATCACATTGACGCAGGACAGTCAGTCTAAAGATGCCGGTATAAAAACGACAAATGTGGAAAACGCATCTCAGTCGCCAACGGAATCAGATCATCATTCGCTAAGTTCGACTGCACTTCTGGAGGCGAACCGTACAACCCGAATCAAAGTTCGCGTGAAGCCACCACCGCTCAATTTGAAGGCCGCTCAAAATCAAATCTTACGCTGCACTGTATCTCCGTCTTCGGTGGAAAATTTGCCAAAACATTGCACCCCAGCCAACCCGGTGGATCGACGTCCGTTTTCCGCGAATCTAGTCAATCGCGATCTGAAGCGCAAATTGACAGACACTTCTGACACGTAAGTCCTCCCGGTAGCTTTCGTGCCATGCGTTCTTCCCCCCCCCTCTCCTATTTGACTTGACTTAAACAACTCATGTGCGACAACAGTCTGAGTCATTCCAACAGCATTCATTTTTATCCGTGTTTAGGCATTCAGACAGTGCTCTCACACATTGTTTGGTTGTGGTTTGTGCTATGTGTCAAGCAGATCTAAATATGAGAGTCCTGATCATATTAAAATTAAACAAGCCAGAATATGTCGTCCGGTAAGTAGGTTTCAGATTAGGTTGTGACCATAATCATAACGCTTAGAATAGTTCACTTCGCAAGACAATAGATTACGTGTTGAAGCATCCATCTGAGGTATTAACCACATGTATCCTGTCAAAAATGGGCTCTTCAGGATGTTCTCTCGAAATATATTTTTTATGTGCACCAAACATAAATCAGGTTTGGGACGAGAATCAAAAGTGTTTATATATAAGCTCGAATTAATCAGGTTGTCCGGTTTGCAAAATGAAAGTTTTATACCGACCAATCATAACAGCACAATTGATGCAGTAAAACAAACGATCGATCCAAACAACACTTTCTCACACATCGTTCTTATTTTGAAAGTTTTTTCATTATGATTCTGATTGTTATATCCGTCCGCTTCGGGTTCCGAATGGAGATTGCGCTGTCATGCCCGTCGTTGATATATATCTCTCTCTCTGCGGTTCTTGTGCACTGACTTTAACATTCTCCTAAGCACTATTTGTATCTTCGTCTTTGTCGCCATTCTCTTCTATGTTTCTCAAACGAACTCTCTCCCTTTCGTATTGCCCCGAGTCAGAAGAAGATTGCCACATCGAGCGATGTTTACCACGTCAAGTGACGGATGGAACTGGCATGAGCGTATGAAAACCCGACCCAGGAGACT